CAGGAGAATCACGTGGAGGTTCAGTTGAGCAAAGTTTGTGTCCATTCATCAGATTACTATCCAGTCAGCGTTTCTGCTCTAAAGTTTGGCCAGACAATTTACTGGAATAGCCACACTACACAAGACCACAAGCTTCTAGCCCTTGACTTCAGTGGCACAGTGACGGCTGTGGGTAAGGCCGTAAGTCGTCTTAAAATTGGAGATCGCATTGTCTCATGTTTCCCCATAGCTGCATCCTCCAAGATTGAAATCCCAGAGGATGTGTGCTACAAAGCAAAGAAAGTTCCATTTTTAAGGAATACTCCTTGTGTATCCTTTTTAGCACTTTCTTGGGCAATTCTGCAGGGTTCACTACCCAAGGCAAAACAGCAGAGAAGATTAGATATCTTCTCTTCAGCGCCTGATGCATGCTTCCTCAAAGTATTAACCCTGACTGCAGCCAAATCAGGATGGAATGTATTTGTAGAGACAGAATTAAGGAGCACCATCCAGAATGCAAATAAGTTTGATGTCTTTGTCCTCTTGCCTCCATTTGACACAACTCTATTTTCAGAGGCATGCAGACTTCACTCTGTTAAGCACATTGTTGCTGTTTGTGAGGACGAACATTCACTTTCTCTTTGTGAAACAATTCTCAGAGAAGAAAATGCCAGTGCTTGTGTGCACCCCATTCAAATTTCCAGAATCCTCGAGAGGGGGTTACTCAAATTACGGAGGCCACAAATCTACAAATGGATCAAGTCCATGCATTTGGACAGCAAGTCACTGGATCTCCTGGCAGTTACTGTCCAAAAAGCAGCATCTGGAGGCACAGACATCCTGCCTATGGAGAACTCTGAATCATACATCTGTTCCAAGACAATACGTGCAATTACACTGAGAGCTGGGGATCCCAACAACCAATCTGAGATTCCCTTTCTTCTAGAACCAAAGCAGAACTTTCAGAAGAACTCTGTGTATATTGTGACAGGTGGACTTTCTGGGCTTGGCTTTGAAACCGTGAAGTTCATTGCCCAGAGAGGTGGGGGCTACATTCTCATTCTCTCAAGAAGTAGTCCTAGCCCGACAATGCAACAGGAAATAAGTACCTTGAGGAATCAATATGAGACGGTCATACTCAGTTTGCGATGTGATGTTTCTGTCCTTGCACAAGTGGAGAAAGCGATTGCTGTCGTTAGACAAAGTTTGCCGTCTTGTCCGATTAAGGGTGTGTTCCACAGTGCGGTGGTGCTTCATGATGGCTTAATTGAAAGCCTCAACAAAGCTGAGTATGAGAAAGTCTTGAAGCCAAAAGTCAGTGGAGCTCTCAATCTACACCATGCTACCAAGCAGTGCAAACTAGACTACTTTGTGTGCTACTCATCAATCACCTCCTTCATAGGCAATGCAGCTCAATCAAATTATGCTGCAGCCAACTCATTCCTGGACACCTTTTGTCATTACAGAAGAAACATTGGACTTGCAGGACAGTCCATCAACTGGGGAGCTCTGAACCTTGGTCTCCTGTTAAATAAAGATACTTTCCAAAAGTTTCTTGAGTCAAAGGGAATGATGATCATGGAGGTGAATGAAATCCACCAATGCTTGCAGGAATGCCTCCTATTGAACAGACCCCAACAGGTTGTTTGTAAATTTAACTTCAAAAACCTGAGGACCCATGTCCTCTCACAGAATGCCTCCCTTAGGATGCGTTTCTCTTCCTTGGTTCTGGAGGCAATCAGGAATGACAAACAATCAGAACTGACAATGGAGAGTGTGAAATCAACCTCTTCACCACGTGAATATGTCAGGTCTGTGCTCTGCAGCACACTTGGTGTTAAAGAGGGAAGGCTGAATGAAGACACAACCCTTGCTGCTCTAGGTGTGGACTCCATGTTGGCCATGACTCTACAAAACCTATTTGCCCAAGAAAGAGGTTTTAATATTCCCATTGTCAAATTCCTTGATCCAAGCACCACATTGGCCACACTGGTAACACTTCTGACAGAGGCCAACGACACAGAACCAGATCTGATTGATAGTTCAGGGCGTAGCCCAAGTAAAGACTCAGATGAACTTTCAACAGCACTTTAAGTGAATTAATCACAGTTTACATTGGCAAAAAGAAACTGAATTTAATGTAGAACTTTAAAATCAACAATCAACATCTCTCTCATATGTATCATAATGAGATCTTTGTATAAAAATGTTCAAGTAGATGTTCATGAAATGCATATTTAACTTTGATCACAGTAAGCGTTATGATCCTTTTCATGTAAACATCAACAGGGACTAGATGTAATAATTGTCATTTTATTGTGTAAAATTAGGAGCTTTTCTTCGTCAGAAAGGTTAAGGTCCAGTAAAATGTAGCTGTTGCTCCTTTTTTTGAGGATTGTGAAAGAATGTAGCTAAGGAACAAAGTTAAGAGTAAAAGTTGTAAGAAACCAGCATCAGGGGCTGTGTGGAACTCAGATTGCTGATTATTTTCATATTTTTGGGAGGGGCCCAACAGGTGAACCATACTGGAGGGAGGTTAAGGACATAGGAACGTTACATACATAACATTCAAAGAGCTTACAGAGGATACTCTCGACATAATAGAATATTGCAGATATGTTTGGGCAGTCATGAAATATAGATGACCTTCAGTAAATTATATTACATGCTTTGTATCTTTGCAAACATATTGTTTGCTTGTTTTATGGGTATGTTGATTCACGTGTAAATAAAAGTAAAATATAAAAAATAAACATTTTACATGTATTCCACTTTAGTCATTATTTCTTGTTATGGATTAATGTTAATTAAGCAATATATTGCTAAGTGCCTTTTACATTCTGGATTGCTTTTCTCAATCTCTTGTTGAATTAGTTGATGAAACTCCTGGCCTTCCTGAACATTTGGGGGTCCTAAACAACATCACACTCCAATTAAACATTAATTTTGGCCAGGAATAAAGTTTAATGAATGCCAAGTTTACAGAAAATGCAAAACACAAATAAGAAATATATAAAACAAAATGAAAATATCGTTGCTGTCAGCTCAAAACCTCATATCTCCAAAACAGTAACTTTACAGGAGAAAGAAACAACATACTTTACTTTTAATGTATGTCAATGGAAGCAGACATTTTTCCACATCATTTTGGGACGTTTCTTTTGGTATGCTTATCATGAAATTTACACACAATGTAAAGAACAACAGGCCCATCTATATTATGTCAAAAACTAAAAAAATCACAAAAATGGAGAAACAAGGTTTTGTTCCAACAGCAGCGATATATTACATGCGTTTGGGGTTTAAGAGCCCTAAGCAACTGCTTATATTTACTGAGCTGAACAACTTGACCACCATGGAGCTTCCTGCTATACAATGCTGTACATACCCCACCTGCATGCCACTCACCCTTTGGATGATACTGCTGCATGCACAGACCCAAACTATTTGATGATAGTGATTGCTTCACCTGCTTTTCCCTGTTTCTGCATTTTAATATTTTACACTAATTGTAAAACATAATTATCTGTTCATATTGCTCTGGTGTTATTGTTTTGCGGTCTAGCTGGTATCTGGGTTCCCCTTTTGAGTCTTGGTTCCTCTCTGGATTTTTCTGGAAAGCTGCTTTGTGACAATCCCTGTTGTAAAAAAGTGCTATATAAATGAACTTTGACTTGACTTGACTGTAGTAGTCATTGGAATTTACAGCTCTGGTGAAAGTCTTCTAAACTCTGCATACAGGCTGCTGATTTCATTCACTCCAGCTCCAGTTCGGTAAATCTGTGTCTGGTCAGGTATGATAAGTCGGTATGATGTGTGTTTGCATGGGATGAAGGGCGTTTTCAGTGTCTGAGAGGTTCCAATAGGCAAAAAGAAGTCAAAGACAAAGACCTATAAAGCTCTGGTGCCATCTGCTGCCTCAGACACAAACTGTACTGCAAGCTGATATATTTTTCTTTTAGGGTTTAAGAGTATTTTGCTTATCAAAAATGGTCAGTGTGCCAAAGGGGCTGAAGAGCAGACCTGAGGAATTTCGACCAATTTTTAAAAATATCTGCATAATTCAGCTGCTTAGATGTAAACAAAGGTATTCAGAGTAGTTTGATGTAAAATAGATGTGTTTGCTATCCAAAATGACAAGTGAATCTACATGTGTCTCCTGAATTTTGATATGTAATGTTGATGATGGTGAAATAATATTAAATCTGAATTTTTTTGGCAAGGTGACTATTTTGTCTGCATTCACCTTCCTGCCATTAATGTATAAAAAAGGCCAAAATGTAAAAAGATTAGGCCAAAATCTTGTTTCAAACTTATTGTAAAACTATGTTTTTGGCACCAGGGAGCATATTCATAATCTTTGTATGTAAGAAGTTGTTGAGGACGCTTTTGGAGGAGTTTTGGACATCTAGTTACATTCACCACTGCTGCAATTTTGACTTGGTGCGTTTCTCCAGAATGAAGCACTTTTACAATAAACCAATCAAACTGACTGTTTACATCTTAACAGTTTCATTATGTAGAAATTTCGAAAAATTGGCGGAATTCCCCTTTGATGCTATACTCAAGGCAAGTGTGAAACGTAATGTTTTATTCTATTTTTACAGCGACCAATAATTTAATGTGTGATCAGCATGTGAACCTGTATAATGATTATGAATATGAATAAGCTCTTAACCTCGGGCATTTTTTTTTACAGAAAAACATATTTTAACATCATTTTCCGGTGCAGTCATGAAGTCCTGCTTCTTTACAGAAAAATAAAACAAAATGAAGTAACATAAGCTAAATGACTTTGTGTATTGCCTTTTTGATCAGAATCTATGAATGCATAGTGCTGGAGTTTTGTTTGAATATTTCAGGAGATCTTAAAAATAACACTAAAGAAAATCAATAAATTAAAAAAAGCAAAATAGAATATTTATATTTGAACGCCACTCTCTAACTTCGTCATTTTTCGGCGGCGTTCGGCTGTTTCCGTAAGAGACATATTTGAATCGGCTGCACTCGGTGGCCGATAACGGTCAGTCATGTTCAAATCTGACGCTGTTAGCATTTAGCTTCGACCTGCTTAACTAGAGAGAAACAGAGGCAGAGAGGGAAAGAGCCGAGGGGCAGACGAGGAGCCCGGCCACAGCTACGGAATGACGGTGTTGCAGGAACCTGTCCAGGTAGTTAAGCATTTGATTAAAAACTGCTCTTTTCTGTCCTAAGCGACGGAGCCGAGTTTAATCCAGCAGCAAAACTCGTAACTTACTTCGGATTTTATGCTCTATGTTTAGGCCTGTTTAGCTAACTAGCTGCACATCAAAATGTCAAGCCGTCTCTCTGTACTGAGGTGACACATAACGAACAAACATGCACGACAGCTTGAAAAGGAAGTCAAAACTGTTTTTAAAAACCTAACGTTAAATACGAAGACTGTTAACGCGAAACCCAAATACAGCGACTGTGTTTTTCAGGCTAGCTAGTTAGTGCTGGCTAACAAGCTATAGCAACAAACGCGGCTAACGTTAGCCTGTTACCTAGCGAGCTCTTTCGTTGTCCTGGTCGTTTTTCATTTTAAAATGGTTGTGTTACTTCTGGTGAAGATTATGCTTAAAGTATGAAGTTTTTCAACGAGCTACTGAGCGTAAACAACTTGTCAGGAATCAATCAAACCGCTGCACAAAACTGTCCTAACCTAGCTAGCCAAGAAATAGTTTAGCTTGGTAAGCTAGCTTGTTTTTCAGCAGCCTTTTTTAGTGATTTCGCTTGCAAACAAATCTTAACTCAGGACCTGTTACTAAAAACATTTGGATATTTGTCAGTTTCCTCTGGTTTTGTTGTTGTCACGGCACTCGGAGAGAGGATAGCAACACGGTTATAAATATCAGGCTAATGACAAAGCTGTTTACATGTCTTTTTAAATACGGTAGGTTAGCTAGGTTAATATTTTGTTAATGCTGGTTGCCTAGTTAGGACTAGCTAGCCGGTTCCAGTCAGCTGTTTATCTACTCAGCTTGATCTTTGGTATCGGAGCAGAATATTTAAGGAATGCTTTTAAGCATATTACCATTAGCGTTCAATATAGGTACAAATGTTAATTAAATGCTGAAGACCAGGTTGGGTCATATGCTTTATTGCAAACATTTTTGCTGAAATTGTTTCCTGTTCTAAGTTAGTGGCAAGTATCTGTCGAGATTCAGCTTAACTGCCTGGTGGCATAGGCTTGTCCACTGTCCTTGTATATGCTATCTGTAAATGATCTCTTTGAAAGACTCTGTCACAGTGACATAGCAAGTAACAATACCACAGCTTACTCGTTGGATGTCATTCAAACATGTCCATCACTTTGAATTACAAATATTGATAAGTCTGCCTTGATTTTGTGTTTCAGTTTACTTGTGTGAAGGCCACTTACTTGCTTTGACCTTTTAAAATGTTTATATGCGTTCTCTGAAAGAAACAACGCAGTGACAAGGTATGTGATAACTGCTGCCCTGTGTCTGTCTATAGGCTGCTGTCTGGCACGCTTTAAACCACTATGCCTACAGAGACGCTGTGTTCCTGGCAGAAAGGCTCTATGCTGAAGGTAGGGGCTTAAATCTTTTCAGCCCTGACACCTCATCAGTGGTGCAAAACTTCAATTCCATTAGATCCCCCAGAGGCATTTTTGCTAGCTGTGTGGCTAGCCAGTTGTTGCAGGTTATTGGATTATAAGCAATCTGCATAGAACCACATATTTAAGAAAGCATATTTTTGCAGTCATAAGCAACAGTTATAATTTCATCAAACAGTGAAATTTGTAACTTAAATTTTCATGCTCTAAATAGCTGCTCATCAAAATATTATGTCTTGTTGATACATTTGATTTGTTGATGCTTTACTCTGTAAAGTTATTGACGCAGAATGTAATGGTATGGTCTGTATGTACATGTAAGACCAGCTGTCTGTCCCAGCAGCTTTTTTTATTTGTGCTGTCTTAAGTTGTAAAATGCTTACTGTTTAGGTGTGCACGTGCTGTATTCATGATATCCAGCTTAAGTGAAGGTGCACACGAATTAAGACTCTCCTTAAGCACTTGTTTTACTAAGACTTGATAAAGTGTTATGTTAATTACAAATTTACCTCTTTTTTTTCTGCCAGTACATTCGGAAGAGGCACTCTTCCTCCTGGCCACGTGTTACTACCGATCGGGAAAGGCCTACAAGGCATACCACCTCCTCAAAGGGCACAGCTGCACCACACCACAGTGCAAATACCTCCTTGCCAAATGCTGTGTGGAGCTCAGCAAGTAAGAACTCTTTTGGCTTCATGTATCTGTGTTTTGCCTGGAAGGCTTTAAATTCATGGATAAACACAACACTAATGCTAAGTACATGCAAAAGCCCACAATGATCTCATTATGGTCTGGTATTATGGCACAAGACAATATGTTTTTGTCAAGTATGCTTTAGGATATGTTTACATGTTCGTTTTTATAAACAACAGTGACTTGTCAGAAAAATGTGAAGATTTGCCTGTGACTGTTTCAGACATCCAAATGAATTTGATGTTTTATTGTTCAGTTTTAAATGCTGGAAGTATTAAACAGGTTGCTGATAAGCATGTGTGATCATACTGCCAATAGGCTGTAATCACATTAGTCTTTCATCAGATCCCTTCACGGACAAGGCTTTTTTTTTTTTTTGCACAGGCTATTATGTGTGTCGTGAGCATTGTTGCAGAAAAATAAATGCATAAAATGCTTGTGATTTATGATGCAGTGTGAAAAACACCTATGTGACTATGAGGTGTATTTGTAAAGGAGAAACAGACAGGCAAAGTAGACATAAGACATCCTTTACAGTGGAGTTGTGCACCTACTGAGCTTTACAAACATGGCCCTTAATGTGAACACAGCATTAAGGGTTTTCTGTTCTGCTGAATTCTGTTAGCATTCAGCTGTTGTTTGGTGATGCAAATTCCATTTGGTTGTTTCTGTATGCTTCTGACTTTGAAGTAACTGATAAAATGGCTTAATTGATATTTATATAATCTGTTGTACCATATCATTCTGAGGTTGAAGGTTTGTAAACCATTGAACTGTGGTCTTATGGTCTTGCTGGTGATGAAACAGAATTTTAGAATGGAATGAGATTGAATGTGCATACAATGTGGTGCTCGATATAAAGGGGACTCTTATTTGAAGCAGTAATCATGTTGATGGCCTGAGAATGAATTTGTTTTACCTAATCAGCATGTTGTGGGTTTAAATTTAGATTCCCGTCGAAGCTACCTTGTAAGACAAACATTGTCATATAGGCAGTTTGGGTTTTGACTTCAGATTACATTACATCACGTTTTCTTTATGCTAGAGCTGATGATCAATGGCCTTCTCCACTTCTTATATCACCAGCCTTAGTATTTCTCATCAACTGCAAGGCATATTACATGGAGGTGTTGCACAGCTGCAATTGGTTCTATTCCAGGAATAGAAGAGCAGGTGTCTCCTACCTGTCAGTTACATTTGGGTGATGTGTCAAATGTGTACATTTATATGAAGATGCTAAATTAGGCAACATTGTGCATATTGCTGCGATCTTATTGAGCTTCATTATGCACATTTTATGTGCCATTTTGAGTTTTCTGAAGACTGTGACAGTCATGTGAGCCCTCCTTGTCTCATTAGTATGAGGATGTTAAGCTTCATTAGCAAAATGGATTTCTCTAACAATAATATAACATTAAATGGTTGGATAGCATAGTGGATAACCCCATTTATTTCCTTGGGGTTTACCAGGGTTCAGGTGAAAATACAGGAAGGACTACTGATGTTACCATATTAAGCTGCTCTGGATAAGAGCGTTCTCTACAAACACAGATATATGAGGCTAACGTTGCTTAAAAACTCAAGTCACCTCAAAGGTTTGGATTGTTTCTGTAAAATACATCCCCTAAAACATCTATATTTTAATTAAGGTTGTGCAAACTTGCCAGTGTGGTTTAGAGCACAGTTATGTTAGTGATGTTAGCCTCACTGCTGTAGTTCTAATGATGCAAATTTTAGACTCCAAACATAACTTTGTTTATAGACTACCTCTGGGGGTAAGTAGGAAAATTTGTGTAAATTAGATTTTTCATCTAACCATCAATTTAAGCCATTTCAGGAGGAATGTTTCAGTATATGTTGTTTAACATCAAAATTTGAGAGATACATTTTTAACCATGTCACCCCATCATACTTGAGAGATGGAATGAACTGGAGTTGGGGGGGTGAGGGTGTTTAACAAAGGATTGTTGAGATTTTTTTTTTTACTTTGACCAAGTTGTTTTTCCAGCCTTAAGGGTGAACGCACATAATGCTTTTTCCTTTCCAGTTTATATTTAATATCAGTATTTATGGAGGCAAGATATTATCGGTCCTGCACAAGTTATTTGGTGTTCAATTATGTCTAGTGTAACACTTTAATAACTTTAATAATAAAAGTCTGGTTTGCAGAGACAATATATGTGCTTGTGATGTTTGATGTAATAATTTCTGTTTTTTAAACATATTTTTCAGATATTGTGTTAGTCTAAACTGTCTGTGCACTATACTAATCTGTTTGGTGTGGGTATTTGTTTGTTTTGCTCAGGCTGGCAGAGGGTGAGCAGATCCTCACAGGAGGAGTCTTGAACAAACAGAAGAGCCAGGACGATATTGTCACTGAGTTTGGCGACTCATCCTGTTTCACACTGGCACTACTTGGGCAAATCTACTGGTATGTGAGCACTAATTTGCTGGTTTATTTTATGGAGGAGCTAAGCTAAAATACTCTATGCTATCTAAAATAGGTTTTAAAAATGTATGTTCTTACAGACTTATTTATCACGATTAGAGGTGTTAAATTTGCGAATGTCTGATTCTGGCATGCCTTACTTGTTCAGGTACTTGGGTACGGTCTAAATGTCTAGTAAAACTACTTTAAGAGGGGGGAATTTAATTACCTAATTAAACTGTAAAACAGTGACTAAAGACTGATTGGAAAGAATCATTGTACATGTTAAGCTAATTCAGAATAGTATGCCCAACAAAAATATCTTTATTTTATAACTGGATTCTGCTTAGTAGTTGAATCATGTAAGTTATGTTTTCAGTTTGTCTAGTGAGCTTAAAATCAATGAAAAACTATCATGGAGATGCATCCCTTATCACTCCTATGGCAACCTGGACAGCCTAAATTAGAGACTTTACCTGTAAACCAGTAGAATAGCTTTAAATCGAGTTGCAGGAAAAGATTTTAGAGCTTTCTCTAATAGGGCAAATCAAAGACAGTATGGTTTTAATGGACAGATCTACGGAGTTATGTTTTCCTAGAGAATTAATTTGGTACAGGTCTATTAGAATGACCACTGATTTCTGGTAAGTGAACTGAATGGTGAAAAGGACTGTTCCTGAAGACCAAGCTCTATTTGGAAAAGGCAGCGTAACACATGTGATTGATGGTTTTGTGCGTGCGTGCGTGCGTGTGTGTGTCTGAGTCTGTGTCTGTGTGTGAGTCGTTAATTTACAGTTGTCTTATTTTGTTTAGAAATGCGGATCATATTTATGCCAATGCTATCTTTGACAGCCTGTCTCTCTTTCTATAGCAAAACAGATCGCTTAGCAAAAGGAGCTGAATGTTATCAAAGGAGCCTAAGTGAGAATCCTTTTCTCTGGTCTCCCTTCGAGTCACTCTGTCAGATTGGTGAGTTTAGTATTTATTTTTCGGCGTTGTTTCTCTGGCCATGTTTTGCTGACCCTGAACCTGAAAATGAAGCTTCTTTGAAATTTCAGAATTTCAAGTCGTTCAAGGTTTTGTTTTTCCTGCTTTAACATCCCCTATACTCCTTATAAGAAGTATCTTAGTTATCCTAATTATTTATTTATTTATGTGTATTTACAATTAGAGCTTGGGGGAAAACTCCACACTGTGCAGTACAGCTGCATCTTTGCCTTTGAGTAAGATGGCTGATCTTTACACTGTTTCGGAAGACATAAAGCAAAACTGATCCATTTTCTTCAGTGTATCAGTGATAAAGCAGTTGACAGGAATTTGACTTAGAAACACTTGTATGGTATGGCTGAGTTTTGATTATAGTGTGTGTGTGTGTGTGTGTGTGTGTGCGTGCAGGTGAGCGGCCAGATCCAGAGCAGATTTTCAAGCTGACCTCTCTGCAGAGCTTCAACGGGGGCAGCGGAGGGGGTGCCCCCACTTTCCCCATTAGCCCTGCCCACACCCCCAGCCACAACATGCCACACCGGCAGGTCGACTCCGTCCTAATGGAGACACCCCAGGATACGCTGGTATGGGTTCAGTCTAGTGTGGCATATGCAGAAGTATGTATGTTATGGTTCCAGAGGCAGGACCAAAATGTTTGTGTTGAGTAGCATTTGCTGCTCTGTCTATTATTTCAAAATACTGCCCAAAGATAACTTCATTTTTAGTGTGACCTTCTGAACTGTAAATGTATCCTCTTATGTGAAAATCATTTTGTGGTGTTCTTAACCCGCTGTGATTTCAAATGGCTTTATCATGCACAAAGTAGCCTACTCCTTACTCTCTATTTTGTTGCTAAACCCTGTCTTAAACAAAAAGCCATGCAGCATGTACTTCTGGTGGTATGCTGCTTGCACCAAGCATCAAAAATTGACTACTAGCCTGATAACTGTGTTCGCATTTTACATTAAACTAATTTAATTGTGCCTTAATTTAAGATTAACAGCTTAATAGCTGTTGAAACACAGGCACTGAAGATTTTCTTATTCTCTCTCTCTCTCAAGGAACTGAACCGGCTTAATCTGGAGTCATCCAACTCCAAGTACTCTTCTATAAACACAGACTCCTCTATGTCTTATATCGACTCTTCGGTCATCTCGCCTGATTCTGCACCCCTGGGCACTGGCGGTTCATTGCTATCTAAGCAGGTGCAGAATAAGCCAAAGAGTGGCCGCTGTCTGCTTGGAGGCACAGCCACACTGAGCCCTCTCACACCCAGGTAGACACCACCTGAAAATCTAGGGAATTAGTTTCTAGTACTAACAATTAATATGCATACTTCAGTATATATATTTTTTCCCCCACACTGAATTTCTAGAACTTCTCATTCAGTTTTACTTAAATCCAAGTAATTAAAAGTTTCACAAAACTATTAATTTCATTAATTTTCTGCATGTAAGACTTAATTCCACAAAGCTGCTCACTTTTCTTTTTGTTATTGATTATAGTTCTGTGTATGTTTGTTGTTGAGATTGGTGCAGCGATATATGGGTGGTTGACACAGTGACCTGTGAAATTTGTGTTACTTCTGTAAGATGAACAAATATTTCCTTATTTTGTTAATGTCCCTGACTGTTGTCCAGTTTTGGAATATTGCCCTTGGAGCCAAGTCCAGGCGACCCCTCTTATCTGCAGAACTATAGTCACAGTGGGACAGGAATGGAGCCACCACCTCCACCTGGTCCACCAAAGAAGGTACTGCTCATATAGGTGCCTGCATGCTGTAGCCCATTTTTACTGCTTTAGTCTTTAATTTCAAATGTTTTAATTGATGCTTTTGGATTTGATGCTTTATTTGTCTGCAAATAGTAACCATATCTATTGATGGCTTCCCAATACTCCTTCACAGACTGTCAGTAGAATCAGCCAGGTGGGAACTAAGTCAGTTTTTGCACAAAGTGGAAATAGCAGAGAGGTGATTCCAAACCCCTTTAACCAGACCCAGACCACTGCTCCACAGACCAGGTGAGTGTGAAATTCAAAAACTTAAAGGTAGCTGTCTTTATGTTTAGGAAAGAGCAAAACCTAGAGACAGCTAACATGTCTGTTTGTGCTTTGTGCAGTACTACACCTCAAGTGCTGAGTCCCACCATCGCTGCTCCCCCCAACGTGCAGCCTCGGCGGAGCTCCAGACTCTTCACCAGTGCCAGCTCCACTGCCAAGGTGAACTTCTCCTGCTGTACACCTGTTCACACATACTGATTGTACTTTTTTTTTGTGCATGCTTAAATGATTAATTTTCCTGCTTTAGCGCATCCATCTAAAAGTGAGGAATTCTTTTGTACTTGTGAAAGCTGTGTACCATTTGCAAAAATAACACGTTTTATGGGTCTGATTTTGTGTGCTTTCATTGATAGCTTATATTTATGTACAAATTTTCTCTAGCCCAAGCTTAAAGTACTTCTAAGGGATAACTTAAGCAATTTAAGTAGTAATCTATGTTGAATAATAAATTGTTAATTTATGTATTATTTTCAGGCCCAAAAAAACAAGTGCACATCTCTGAACCTTTATGCTTATTAATAATGACTAAGTACATGAACATGCATGATTATGTGAATAAAAAAAACACAATTTGGACATGGACAAGCAGTTCTTGCATTAACAAATGAAGTTGAGCAGGGCTAAAATTGGGCTTAAACTCCCTCTGTAACATTATTGCCTTGTACTGTGTAATTCTGTTAGCTTAATAGTGCAAGGTGCTAGTGCTAGATCAGCTATCAAGGACAGTGAAGTGGAGCTGGCACTGACTTGGTGCTAGCTTGGCCAGAAAGCTAACAGTACCATATACTATTTTCTGTCACATAAACTTGATTACTGTAAGTGAAATCCAGTCACTTTTTTGTACTATGTGAAGCACTGCCACTCAACCTCCTAAGGCTAACTGCACTGTTCAAACATCGTGAATATTAGCTGTGTTGATGCAGGCATGTTCTATAAATTGTTTCTTGTTATCACATTGTAATCTTCTCATTATCATATTTTAGTATGTTGGACAGGTTCAAGCTGTATTGTGACATGGTAAATAATAAGGATGTCTAAGTTTTCAGCGAAATATGAAAACATGAGCCATGATAACACATTTTAAAAAATACAATTCCGTGTAATCATAATAAGCCACCCAAGGGGAATTGACCTCGGTCCAGGGTCTTTATGTAAAGAGTAACTGATGGTTGAAAACTTTTTGTTGAACTCCATGGATCATTGTGTTTATTCATGACTGAATTCAACAGGAGAACAGCAAGAAGCTAAAAATGAAGTTCCCAACCAAGATCCCCAACAGAAAGACCAAGACAAAAACGGGGAAGGGGGGAATCACCCCCTCCAGCCTAAATGAGAGCATTGAAATCCTGAAGCTGGACTCGTCTATGGCTGAGGGGAAGGGCAACATTAGCTCGCCTCAGTTTCAGGCGTTTACTTTGCAGAAGGCTGCAGCAGGTACAAGAAGACCCCATATCCAGTTTAAATGCCAGTTAATGATTGTTGCTGTGAAAGTTGAGGTAAATTTGGGCAAAAAGCTTTCTGTTAAAGCCCTAATAAGGAATTTCTGCAAGTGACCAAGCAAATTTTTGTACTTTGTTATTCTTGAATGATGTATCACCTCAGACATTTACAAGAGTTGTTTACCAGGCTCATAGTCTGTTAGTAAACCCAGCTGTGGAAAGCAAGTACTGATTTAGTCAGTTTGTGCTATGCTCTGCTCTTTGCACTAGTCATGAGATCAGCAGTAAGCCAGTTGCTTTTTTTTAATGCAGCATTGCTATTTTAAGAGTTCTTAGCAGAACATGGCGAAAAATTCTTCTTATTCCATGTTCCAGATGGGCTGATGTCGCTGATGCGAGACATTGGGCGAGGCTACTTGGCCCTGTGCTCGTATAACTGCAGAGAGGCCATCAACATTCTCAGTCAGCTCCCTGCACACCACTACAACACTGGTTGGGTGTTGGGCCAGATTGGTCGTGCACACTTTGAACTGGCAGAATACATGCAGGTAAGCCCACCCCAAGTCTATTAAGTAATAATTCTGGAGCAAACTACATTCTATAAATGGATAAACTAGAAGCTCCTTCAGTAATAGCAGGCCTGTTCAAACTGACTTCACAGTAATGTAATAGAAAATGGTGCCTTCTTTTTTTTTTCAACATGAAGACAAGCTAACAGCTAAAATGAAGCTTCATTTGACTCAATTCCTTGACCTTCAAGTTTATGACAGGACTACTGAAATCAGTTCGCTGTATTTTTCCTCTCATAATTATTTCAAATCGCCATTGCCATATTTGCCATTTAGCCACGCTTTAATCTGGTCTACTGGTTTCACAGATCCTTTATACCATATGTATGGCCAGTCAAATCACACACAAATTACATCACCAGATCTAATCAGGTAAAATTAACCCAGGTCAAATACTGCTTAAGTCTGCAGAGTTGGACTGACATAATGAAATATTGGGGCTGTTTTTGTTTGTAGTCTGTACAATAACGTGAGCCTGTAGACTTGACAACAAAATACCGTTGAACCTCACATGACAGCAGAGATAGACTAATAGGCTCTAGTACAGCAGACAGCCAAGTTTGTTATCACCTTATGCTGACCCTGCCGCATGATTGCGCAATATATGATTACGGTGATTAGTACTACAAATCCACTGACACAAAGAACAAGACTGAACAAATGATCACTGCCTGCTGTGTAAACATCGCCCAAAGTCATGTTTTTCATGTTTTTTTTTCCCCATCTCCAGGCTGAGAGGATTTTTTCAGAAGTGCGGCGCATTGAGAGCTATCGGGTAGAAGGGATGGAGATCTACTCCACCACACTATGGCACCTACAGAAAGACGTAGCACTTTCCGCCTTGTCGAAAGACCTCACTGACATGGACAAGAATTCTCCAGAGGTAATTCGCACAATTTTAGCACATGGTTCTTCTTTGTTCAGGGAAGTGAACAGAGCTTGTGCATCTTGAACCATATCACACTGGAAAATAAGTACCAAACAACCATACTTGATCCTTTTTATTTTCTGTGTTGAACTGGCAAATTGTATTAAACAGAGAATAAAAAAAAATTTAGAATCCATAAAAATAACACTGTTTTTCCAGTCCAGCTTGTCATGCCAAAAACATAAAATTAATATTCAACTTTATTCTTTTTTTTTTTTCTTTTATTCCACCCCAACAGCCATGGTGTGTAGCTGGTAACTGTTTCAGTCTGCAGCGAGAGCACGACATTGCCATAAAGTTCTTTACGCGGGCCATACAGGTGGACCCAAGCTTTGCCTACGCCTACACTCTGCTGGGTCATGAGCTGGTGCTTACTGAGGAGCTGGAGAAAGCCCTGGGCTGCTTCCGAAACGCCATCCGCCTCAACAAACGTCACTATAATGCCTGGTAAGATGAAAAGCAGTTTTCAGTTTTGCAAAGCCATCCCAACTGCTGGTTTTCATGCCCTCCTAGCTGTTTGTTTTTGAACATGTGAAAACATTCTTGGTCAAAGCAATCCTTTATGAGTCTGGATTTAGCCTACTTAGCCATTTTAGAGGCACTTTTGCATGCAGTTGATTTTTACTGCTGCTTTGTTCTGGTGTGTTCCGTTCATTTTGGTGCTCCATGCTGATGCATTTTTACATAACGGTTTTGAAGAATGATGTTTTTAAGTTAAGTAAAACTTTTAAATTTCGTAGTCATGCATAATTTAGGATAACAAAAATAGCAATGAATCCGTCATTTTATTTTACCAGGTACGGCTTGGGAATGATCTACTACAAGCAAGAGAAGTTTAACCTGGCGGAGATTCATTTCAAGAAGGCTTTGAGTATTAACCCCCAGAGCTCAGTTCTACTCTGCCACATTGGTGTGGTGAGTATGCGTTAGAGAGAAAAAAAACAGTATCTCAATTATGAAGTTTCACAGTTTACATTTGCATTCAAGAAATACCTCTGGATTGTCTGGAATCAGAAATGTATTGACAGTTTGGCAGACTCTATATGAAATTGTAACATGAAATTGGCTGTCTCTAGTCTTCTGAACAGCTCCAATTCAGAACTCCTGTTACATGTCTTTAAATGTTATGTTGGGAATTACACCGTTAGCCTGGGAAAATAGATTGTCTATTGGTGTCATGCACAAGTGTTCACGTAGATCTGACAGCATACTTGCATGTAAGGTGAATGTGTGCACTTGAGTGCAATGACCAAACCAGAATGTCTTGATTAAATTTTTGCATTTTCCCTCTCTTTCTCTGCAAGAATGAATACCTTCTTCTCTCTAACCTATTTCATAGGGTCTTCTTCCTCCCCAAACACTACCGGATAGCCAGTTAGCGTTTGCAGTGTTGCATTGCATGTTTGTTTAAGTGCATCTTCACAGAAATATATATCAGCCTTAAGGGTTTCACCTTATAGTTGTGTAGACTTAACAGTTTTGTTTGACTAAATTTCTCTGGTGGTTATTCTCCAATAAAAATCCCATCTCTGACACTTTCTCTCTTGTGCTCACAGGTCCAACATGCATTGAAAAAATCCGACCATGCTCTAGAGACCCTGAACAGAGCAATCAGCATTGACCCTAAGAACCCACTATGCAAATTTCACAGGGCCTCCATTCTCTTTGCTAATGAAAAGTACAAGGTAAGTTGCTTTGTTGATTTGTAGTCTGGGACCAGTCTTCCACAGACTGCCAACTAAACTGAATCCTAAGATAAGTGATTGATTTCATAACTGCTTCCAAGGTCTCTTGTTTTGATTACTGTAAATTCATTTTCTCCCCACAGGCAGCTCTACAGGAGCTTGAAGAACTAAAACAGATAGTGCCCAAAGAGTCCCTTGTTTACTTTTTAATAGGAAAGGTAAAAGAAACTTGTATTTATAGCGTAGTGTGACATTATTTATTTAACTCTTGCCTTTGTAATAGCAAATGCTCCCTTTTCCCTGTAGGTTTATAAGAAGCTTGGTCAGACTCACTTAGCCCTGATGAACTTTTCATGGGCTATGGACCTAGACCCCAAAGGGGCCAACAATCAGATCAAAGAGGCCATAGACAAGCGTTACCTCCCTGATGATGAGGAGCCAGTCACTCCTGATGACTATCCTTATTATTCAAGTAAGTTCTCAAGTGCGTGTGTACATTACCGTTCAGTAGTTTGTCCATTTCATTAAACCAGTCTGCTTGCAACATAAAGGTAAAAATAAAAAAAAAAAAGTAAAAAACAAAGGTTAGTAGGAAAGGAGATTCCAGAGTTATAAAATCTGTAAGTTATTGTGTGATGTTTATCTTGAGCACCTCGTATTTAAAAAATAATCAAATCTCAGGGAAAATAACTCGACAAAAACTATTGAAATAAGATCATCACAGTTGCATAATATAATTACCATTTATTTTTATTATTATTATTTAGTAACTTGTTCTTAAAATACCATTTAGTGTGTTATTTATAACATTTAAGTCTATATTGTACAATTGTATGTAAATAAAAATTGATCCAAGAACTTTGGAAGTGTGGTGGATATACAGTATGACCACATTAATTTGCTGTGCATTTTATACAACAGTTCTGCAAAATAAAGAAAAAAGTAAAACAAAGCCCAGAATATTGCATCAGATATGCTTTTAATATTGGTATGTCCATCTGCCACAATACGTAGTAGTCTTTTGCTGTGTGGATGCAGCCATTAAGTGCAAAAACCAATATCAGGTTCAGCTCAGCTTCTTCAGTACTGGCCATATTAACTTGAATGTTGTTTTGTTCCAGATAGTCTGTAAAGCATTTCATGTGTTTAATGACTTTTATTCTGTTTCATTGTGGCTAATTCGTGTTTGTTTACTTGTTCTGTTGTCGGACTGAACGGCTTGCTTAGGAGCAACACCAGGTTGAGAATATAATTTAGGCTTGGCTTCACACTTTTCTTCAGAATCTGATCAAATGAGTTGCCAGCCAAATGTTATTGTATAGAAGTTTTCTAATGTATCTGTTTTATATGTGCTGAAGCAGAAGCTTAGTAACGGTTTGCTGCAGCTTAAAGTGAGTTGTTAGCAATTAGTCGCTCTGCTAAGTAATAGCTATTGTGGGGTGAATAAAAATGTTTGTGACAACACTGCCAGAACACTTCTCAACCAATTGGTTGTGGCGTCAGAACTAACTATTGTATAAATAGTCATATTTTGTAACTTGGTTTTGGTGTGAGAGAGGTATGTAAAGTCATATGTTGTGTTGCAGCGGAGCTGGAAGAGTCTCAGGAGAGCAGTATGACGGACGCAGATGACACGCAACTCCACACCACAGAGAGTGATGAGGTCCTGTAACACCCTGTTCCTGCAGCCTCCTGTCTGGACTCGAACACATCATTTATGCCAACCTGGAGCTACCCTAAGACTCCAGCTCTAATGAAAATAGAAAAAAAGACAAAATTAGGAGGAAGGAGAAGAATAAAAAAGGAAAAACAAACTGCTGCTAATACAGTACCTCCTCATTTCTGTATTTTTTACTTTTAATTGTTTTACCATGTTTTTTTTTTTTTTGTGAGGTTTTTCATCTTCCTCCCAACCCTCTGGGTCCTGTCATTATGCCTTATTGCTGGATCCTACAGATCCAGCTTTCAATCCCCATATCAACATGGGAGATTTTACTGTCTTTATCGAAGTCCATGAAAAACTTCTACCCCATTCATGTCATCTGTACAAGAGTCCCAAATCCTCTCTGTCAAGAAGAGAGGATGAAGGGAGGAAAAAAAAGAAAGCAAGCCACAGACATTCGTGGAAGTTTCTGTCTTAATGCCTAGGCCTTTTTGTGTTCCTTTTTATTCTCATTTACTCTAAATAAAGACCTGTGTAAGAGTTCCAAGTCCGTTGATTCCTCTCCCCCCTTTTCAGGATGAAGCAGACGAACAGGGAGCAGAGTAGCACTTTCAGCCCTGGACAGGAGTGAGGGGCGAAGTTACGTATGAATCAAACTAGGCACTTTGTTCTCCCAGCAGGTTTTCCTCACTCTGAACCTCCTGGAAGAGTACCTAGCAAAACTAGCAACCTTTTTGAATTCGCTAGAGAAGAACAAAGTATTTAACTGTGTGTATGTGAATGAAATATAGAGTGAAAGTGCAAGTCTTGGAAATGTAAACGAATTTTCCCCATTTTTCATTTGCTTTTATGTCTTGGGCTGCATTTAGACAACAGATTGATTTTCTTGAGCTGGCCAGATTTGTGGATTTAGACACACTAGTGGGATGAGGTCATCTGCTGGCCATGAATGTGATACAAATTGAAACCAAGAAGATCTGATTGTTCCCTTGTTAGACATGAAGGGAATGATCAGATACATATCAGATATTTGGGGAAAAATTACTGCCTGTCTAAGCGAAGCCTCGTTGTAGAAAAAGCCCCTTTTTATTTGATCTGGAGCTGTTCTTGTGTTTTAAATCCTAATTCTAACGTCAGCATAATTTGCCATTTGCTACGTTTCGTGGCAGATAATGAAGGGTTCGATACAGCTCAGATACAGAATTTCCCAGCTGTAAAGTGTGGAGTTGAACAATATGCTTAGTCAGTGCTGATGAAGTTGCAATTGACTGAAATCTTTCAATAGAAAACTTCCCTGGCACAGTGACTAGATGAAAGACTATGGAAGAGATGACAAATTTCTAAAAGTTGTGGTGCTTTTGATGACAATGCAGTTTTTTAAGTGCGTAAAGTATCTTAGAAAACCATTTCACAAGATCTGTACGTTGATTTGTTTTGTCTTAGGGTAAATGCTTGTTGATGTATATTTTAAGAATTTAAAAAGTAATAAACTACTTTGACTTATATTGTTGATGTGACTGCTTAAACCTTTAAATGGTTAATAATTTAAAGGGGCATTCCAGCCTAAAAATTAGCATTTAGTATGTCGTATTATGTAATATTCTTTAGTGAAGCATTATAACCCTCTGCCTAACCGGTTTGGCAGAATTCATGATTTTGTATCATGAAAGGAAACAAGACATAAAATAGTCTGCCTTTGTGTTTCCATCCTAAAGTTCCTTTTTAGTTTTCAAAAGTTCCTCCCACCTTCAAGATGCATCATCAGAAGGGAGTTGTCCCTTCTTTAAAGTGGAAAATGTCACTCTTGAGCCTCCTGTGGCATCACTGTACACACTAAAAAAACAGATGGCACACACTTAAAAGGCAGTGGTTGTATTTTGAAACCATGAGTTCTGTATAGAACCATTTCATGCTTGAGTTTCTTCTAGGGTTATTTATTGTATATAGAACCATGAACATTTAAAGAACAAAGATTCATGAAGAACGTGCTGTAGATGGTTCCATTTAGAACCTTTTTGAAAATGTAAAAGGAACTGTCCACAGCACATTCACCATCAATCAGAAGAAATCTTTCACAATGCTAAGGACCCTTTAATGGTTCTTTGAGGTGTTCATGTTTCTATATAGAACCATTTTCTTTACTGAAGGACCATCAAAGTGTGTTGAAAAAGTTCTTCAGATTGACGGAGAACGTGTTGTGTATGGTCCTATTATAAAAATCTTTTGAAAAAGGTTCTATGTAGCACCAAAAGGGTTCTTCTAGTGTTATGATATCAAGCGTGTAACAGTAACAGAGCCCTTTTCAAAAAGGTTCTATACACAACACATTCTATCAATCTGAAGAATCATTTAGCCAGGCAAAGCAGGTTCATGCTTAAGCATGAAATGGTTCTATAGAGAGCTCATGGTCCTAAACAGAACCGTTGCTTTTACAAAAGAACCCTTGACGAACCATCTGTTTAAAGTGTGTAGGAGGCGTGTAGGAATGTTTACAACAGATGTAGTGATGATTAAATCTGTAATTTTGGCCAGATTACTCCTTTTAAGGCTGTAGTTATTTCTGTAAATGGGCAGTATTTCTTCTGTTTCTCAGTGTCCGGCATAAATGCAAGCTAGCATTATCACTAAACAGAAAAAATGATTTCAGAATAGACTGGGGCTTACTGTAAAATATTTATGAAGGTTATGGTTACAGAACGAGCTGCGTAGAAAGTGATTATGTTTAGCAGAGGAAGAAATATTTGATCCACACAGTGCAGCACTAAATACGGTGAACTGAAAGGATAGGGACTTTGTACGTGACTCAGATGACACTGGGGACCACGTAAACGCGACACAGGTCTTTGTGCGCAGGAAATTAAATGAAATCCTATTTGTGAAAGCACCTTTAGACTATTACCTGTAAACGCCCCCACAATTTACCCTAAAGACTTACTGGAACACAATGATAGTCACTTTTGAATGCGGTTGTAATGATGCAAGATGACAAGAGATGAGACATTATAATAATGGTTCAGATTTTGCCAAAAGCTTCGTCGTTTAAAAGTCTTACGACAGTTTAAACTAAAGTGACTAACACCGTGAGGGAGAGTGGACCATTATCCCAAAAAAACACAAAACTCCTGTAAAGTTACAGTTTTATTTACTTCACATAAAACGCCCATCGAAACAAAAATAACACGAACCGGCCAATCAGCGAGCTGCTTTTCCCGCCTCGTCCAATCAGAGCGAAGAGAGAGGACAGCGGAGGCTTTCCGGTTCAAGCCTGGTTGATGTGTGCAGGTAAGTGGACGTGAATTTCAGGAGTTGTCTTTTAAAACATATTTATTTTTAGTGCTTATACAGGTGAGGAAAACGACGTTTTGTTCCACAGATATAGACGAGCGTTTTCTCAGATAGTCTACATGACCGCGATAACGTTATACTGTACGACAAAGTAAAAATTACCTCAGAGGTTCGCAGTCAACAGGGCCGAAATGGGTCCGTTCAGTCAGTCAGTGAGTGTTAGCAAACAGCATTAGCCTGCTCCGCTTCTGACTTTTAAATGTATTTTTCCAACGTGCCAGACAAAAAACAGACTATTAAGTGCTTCCTTTTGCTAAAAGAGCCGCTCAAATATGTAAAACATTAGCTATAACATTTTTTCTCCAGCAGCCGATGCCTGGCCTTGCGACGGGTTGCCAGCTAACGATAATGACGCTAGCTGCTCAAGTCATTCAAGCTAGCTAACGTTATTCAATGTTTTCTTTTTCTTTTGTCTTTTTTTCAATTGGCCTCTCAAAAAAACTGAGCTGAAAGCACTTGCCGAATAAATACAGCCTTAGTAAGAGCATTGGTGCTATTATTGACAACTTTTTTTTTTTCAAAATGTTAACTCAGATTCGGAGCAGTAACGTTAAATGAGGCTGAAGTTGGCTTCCTATTCACCAGCTTCTCTTTCGAATTTTCCCGTTCCACCTTAAATGGTGCAGCAGTTACGGTCTGGCGCTTCAAGCACCAGAATGTAATTGCGGCACTATTTAAGGTGGAACGGCAAAGTTCGAACAAGAAGCTGACTTGAGCTTCGCGAGCAGTAAGATATTTAGCCTATTTAGCCTCCTGTGAACCTGTGTGGGATTTGTCGCGAGGCTGCTGCGGCACCACGACAGAGATATTAACATGTAAACGTCTATAAAGACGTTATGAGCAGTAAGGAGCTTCAAAAGATTTACTCGTATTTAGTGCTGGATTTATACATTCTGGTTAACTAGGCAGTTAAGGGCTGGGGATGACTGTTTTGAAAGGTTAAGGTTGGTAGTTACATAGAGTTTAATGTAGAGTTTTGTTTTAGTTGCTCTTTCGAATGAAAAAATATATCGCTAACATTTGTTTTGCAGAGCTACTTATGCAGACTTACAAGAACTGCGTTCTAAAAATTAGAATAAAACACGTCAGGGTTTTAAAATTGGTTATGTTTTTGAGCTTTTTAAGTAAAACTCATCATCTGTTTTATCTGACCCCTAGGGTTTGACAGTCGTAACCACTTTGTTGGGTGTTTGGATAAAGCTGGTCGCTCACAGCCGGTTGGAATAATGAAAGCTGTCTGGGAAAAGCGGCACAGAGGACTCGGCCTGGGTCTTTCAGCGGTGAGAAAAGTCATAAGTATTATTCAACGCCTTTTTAGTAACTTCCATCGTACATTTATTTGGTTGCGGCTGTCCTGATCTCAGATGTGACTGTATTGGAAGGCAGAACGTCTTAATACTGAGCGACAGATGGCGCAGTTTCGCTGGTCAGTAGTTAGGAGTTAAAGAAGCTTTCATTGGAGCCTCTTTGGATTCATCTTCTGTTGCTTTAGGAAAATCATGTTTATTTTAGTCTTCAACACGGTGTTTTTATGCAAGCTTGTCTATAAAGCTAATTTCTAAAATTTTCTACCAGTTTTCTCTTTACAAAAGTGTAGCAGATATTCCCATATTGTGCAGTAGCACCACAAATATAGGAAAGCGACTGGGGTAAAAGTGCTTGTTTGCTAAGATTCCTAAAAAGGGACACACATTTCCAAACAACTCTCTGCAGCATGTACTCTTTAAGTGCTTTCCATGACATCCCTTTCTGGAAATTAGGATGACTGATTATTTTGTGTGCGTACCCTCGAGGGGAGAATTTGTGCATGTGATGTCTCCTCAGATATACTTAAACTTCTACTACTGCATTGTCACCTCTTGCCAAGGTCAGTGCTAAGCTCTCCTCTTTGCTAAGACACCACACAAATACTGATTTGTCTGGTGTGTGTTTTTTAAATTGTCCTTCCCTCCCAAAAAGAACACAGCCAGTTTTGTTCCCAGGAACCTCCAGTCACAAACAGCTGCCACACAGCTGTGTTTCACACCAGCATCCCACAGATTCCTGCTACGCTGTTGTGCCCTAGCAGTTTTCAGGGTAATTCTGTTTCACCCTTAATAGTTTTTTGTTTTTGTTTTTATATCACTGAAAATGGCAACTAGCTTTATGGAGTGAGTTTCCCAGACATAGATTAAGCCTAGTTTCGGACAAAACTGCAT